TACAACGTGATATTATTCGACCGTCCATTGTTCTTATCAAAAAGAACTGCGGCTTTGTATGGATTATCAGAAGCTAAACGCAGCTACTCTAAAAGACTCCTTCCAGTTACCAAGAGTGGATGCAACGATGGATGCTCTTAGCGATTCACGTTCGTTCACTACCTTGGATCTGGCTTCGGGCAGGTCGAGCTGAACCCGGACGACAAATACAAGACTGCGTTTATTGTCCCGTCCGGATTGTACAAATTTCAAACCATGCCGTTTGGTTTAACTAATGCGCCCGCAACATCTCAGCGTCTAATGCACACAGCTCTAGCGGAGCTCATCCCGAAACACTGTCTAGTTTACCTGGACGATATCATTATGCACGGCAGAACAACGGAAAAACATAACCGGAGCCTAATAGCTGTACTGGATCGTCTGTCGCAGCTGGGGTTAAAACTTAAACCCTCAAAGTGCTTATTCCTAGGGGAAGAACTTGCCTACCTAGGTCTCATCGTGTCTGGAGAAGGAGTACGCTGTGATCCGGCGAAGGTCGAGCGGGTTCGCTCCTGGCCAGTCCCAAAAGATGCTGACGAAGTGCATAGTTTTCCCGGCGTTGCCTCTCACTATCGGCGTTTCGTTCGACAATTTGCCAACATCGGACTTCTGTAGGCTGGTCAAACTTTTATTTAGGGGGTGCGTAATAAGACGCATTTGAAACACTTTGGACTACACTGTGAGAAGCGCTACTTTTACCATTCCCTGACACCGCGTCCATCCGCGGGCCCCATTCATTTTGGACACAGCCGCCAGTGACACTGGTATTGGAGCGGTACTCTCACAACGCACGGCCGCCGGAATGTAATCGGTGATCGCGTATACGGGTCGTGGTCTTTCGCACAGAGAGCGCAACTATCACACCACGGAAGGAAATGCTGGCGTTGCTGTTTTTTTAACAGACAATTGGCGCACTATCTACTCGGCCTCAAGTTCATTGGCGACCATGCCCGGGCACAAAAAGGGAGTCAAATCAAGTAGGCTTCCAAGGACGATACGGACTTTTGCCTAACGAGCCTTCTGTTTCTTGCACCGGTAAGCGAACAATAGCTCCCGGTACTTCGACGTCCGAATAACTTCTATGGACTTCTGCAAAAGATTGAAGCAAAAACAAAAGCATTCACTATACTGTCATGCAGTACGAGGTTACAGCGACATGATGCAATAAAATTACAATAATTCTGGATAAAATTCAGACCAACACTTATCTAGGCTCATTTTGAAGACCTCTACGATGCTGCATTCTATAAGAGCTGGAGTTAGTTTATTCCAGCTATTGACTACACGATTCGCAAAGAATTTCCCCCTGTTGCCCAACGTTGATCTCTGATGCTTAGAATTCTATTGGTGTCCTCGCAGGTGATCTGACCCGGCTAACTCAAACAGTTCAGTGTACTGGAAACCATTAAAATCCTTTGTGCTTTTAAACGTTTCTATTAGGTCCCCTCTTTAATATGCAGTTCCTATTTTGTTGGAATCTTTTACGGGCAACTTAACGGTGTGGCAATGGGGTCCCCTTAGGACCGCTCCTTGCTGAAGTTTTTCTAGCGAAGCTTGAACAAGGACCTTTGCGACTGGTTATCTCAACGTTTGATTCATACTTGCGATATGTGGGTGATATTTTCATTATTTGTCATTCAGACGTTTCTCGTCTACAGCGCACATCCGGCCTTGCATTTCATCTGTATAAAGTGAAGGAAGACTGGCCTTTTTGGACTTGTTGCTGAAGCGACGCAACGACGGCTCTCTGGATAGTAGCATTTTCCGGAAGCCGACATTGGCGGGCCAATACACACACTTTTTAAGCTTTGTACCTTTGCAACACAAGCGGAACTTAATGCGTTGCTTACATTAACGTGCCACCAGAATGTGTAACCCGGAGACGCTTTTGCAGGAGAGACATCGTATATTCAGGATATTACACGGCAGCGAATGCCCCGTCCAGTTTACCAGAAAACACGCCAAGATTTGTCTACGCTCCAAAATCACCTTGACCGTACAAACAAAGGATGTGTTTCTAACAGTGCCATTCAAAGAAGATGTCACCTTGGACTTACTGAAAAGGAGACTCTCAGCTGCAGTGTCTGTTGGGAAATAGTCATATTTCCCAAGGACTACACTAGAATCAGCCAAAACTGTAGACTATTTGCTAGCCACCACTTTTTGATTTTTATACACTTCACGCTATCTGTTTCCGTTTCAAACGAGCATTGTGATTGGCTGATTGGACAAGGCCTATTGAATGACCTAAACCAGTCATGAGTTTTTATCACTTTTTGGTTTGTCTCGTCTTGGCGTTTGAATAGATCTCGTGCCTGAGGTCTTGTCTGTTCCTTCCGGGGTCGGGGCTATTGACTGGTGCCGGATTTTCGTTGCATTTGTGATTCTGTTTCATGCTTTAGTTGTGTTTTCAGTTTTTCCGTTCATGTTTGTTCCGAATTGCGTTAGTCGCTATAGGATCGCAACAGTATCCCAAACCTTCCTAGCCGCCTGCCTACATGTGCTTACTCAGACCGCACACTGTTATCCCCCGTCTCAATGACAGATTCGCGGTCTTGTCCCAATCATACGTTCTGTATCAAGTTACTTGCACCTGTGGTGCAAGTTACCTCGGGAGCACAACCTGGCGTCTGATAAAACGGGTAGCAGAACACTGCCAAGGGTCATTAAGCGTAGGCATGGGTGGGAGCATAAACAGCGCTATCGTGGAACATTCGATCCTAGGTGGACACCATTTTCGAACATGGTATGCGTTTAAGTTCTTCTACTCTGTGTCACCACGTTATCTGAAGACTCTCAGAAGGCATCTCTTGAAGACAGCTGAAACAGTTTCCATCGGACTGACCCAGCCCGAGTTTTGCAACTAGAGAACCCTTGTACAAGTGCTTTTCTTGCCCTGGCCACAGAGCAGTTACTCGGTGTCAGACGCTAACGGCTTACTATCGCCTGCGAGGCCTATCCTAGGCGGCTTACAATAGGCTGCGAGGTCTACCATAAGTGAATCGACCTAGGCATCGATCCGACTTACTGACTCCGTTCAAACTCTTGGTTTAGCTATCCTCAGCGTAGCTGACAGCATGGCCTGATGAGAATAATCGAAAAGAGATCTCTTCGCTACTTGAACTTTCTTCATCGCCTTTGTTCCATCAGTACTTCTCAAAGTACTGAGGACTAATGACAAAATTCTTGGAACGACCGGGTGCGTATTTCATTAAGTGCCAACCTAGATTCCAAGAGCGTCGAGAGCTCCACCACTTGTGCGCAATTCGGTGCTAGACACATAATCCGTAAGGTACTAGATTCACCACAGCGAAATTGGCACAAAGTGTGGCACTAACTGCGCACTTACTCACTTGGCTTCGCAATCATTTTTCGTTGTTTCCAAACATTGAGCTATTCCTGGTCGATTACATCATGCGATTCATTTACGACTGGTACCACTGGATCACGCAGCTGTACTATTTGAACCAGCTGATCCTTTCACGTTGGTTACTATTTTTCACAATAAGTTTTATCAACCGAGGTAAGTTTACCTTCAGTATTTACACTGACACCGAGGATGTACTGGGATATGTTCTCAATAAAAAAATTACATGGATAGGGAGAACAAAATATGTGCACAGCTGTCACTCTAACAACCGCATGCGTAGCATTACTTTCGATGGATCAACCTGCAAACGTGATATGGTAAACTGATACTCCGATAAGACAACAGGTTTATCAAAGAGAGAGCACACATTACTGGAAACTACTAATGAGACTTGCGCTTTCTGCGCAGAGCAACGGCTGAGTCCACATTTCCCATCAGCACGTTGCTTTCGTTTGTTTATACATAATTTGTCTAAAGTTGTTCCTGACTTTGTGATCACATTCGATGAAGTGCGGTCCGGGGCATTATCATGTCCAATATTGGCGGAGAGGTTAAAATGATTGAGCTTGCTAATAGTTCAGAGAAACAAAATGTCTCAAGAATTCCACTAAAACGTAATATACGCAATTTGCCACGCAAAAGCATGTTCTACCGAGAAATGCAACGGTCAGACCTTGAGTCCGGCCTTTCCGTTGTCAGTACTTAGTACCAACGCAACCGCCGTGGCTTCATTACTCCTGGCATGTGTGTATTTCGGTGACCAGACCGTAACGCCGAACCCCTGCGCTTATCTGTTTGTGGCCCGACATTCGGCATGAGGGAACTTATCAGCAAGAGCGAATCGTGTTGGTGCATTCCGTGTGCTTGCGATAGGCTCTCTAGGTCCACCACACCATAATTTGGCCAGCCTGATACGGTTGCCAATTCGGGTGATGTTCTTGTTTCCATTCGATCGCCCCCAACCATTGTTCATTACGTACGATGGCACAAATTTATATCCACTTTTCTTAAGCGGACTTGCTATTTTTGCCCTTCGTCCTCCTCACTTCATTATCGTCACTGCTTGGCTTCATGACCAAGCGTTTTCGGACACATCGGTGCTCCAATGTTGATTGTTGGGATGAAATGTGGACTGAGTTCCGTATGGTCACATCGCTTGCCAATGTGCAAGGCATGTGACTAGCGATGCACTTGGAACCAATTAAATATCCCTTTGCCATAAATGTTGTTAAGCGCACATCCTACTCACAATGTTTCGCCGGAGCCTGGCTGATTACCGCACTGGAAAGATGGATGTGGTTGGTGTAGCTTATGGTCCTCACTGTTCCATTCTTTCCTCGACCGTGTTTTCTCTTGCTTCTCTCACATTGACCCAATCACCACTTCTGCCCGCATTCCCATACTAACTCTCACCCCATGGTTATATGATATTCCATTATCCCTCGAGTTGGGAGTGGTTCTCTCCATCACATGACTTTAACTCACCTACTAATTCTACACTTTTAACAGGCGCTACCCAATATGTACTCTAATCACTCAGGTTACCCCATCGATGGGACTTCATGCTTTTCTGAACTCTTTCCCGCTTCAGATAAACGACTATGCACTTGAAGACGACACAGAGGAAAAGGTGCGCACCCAGTGTTGTGCAAGTATGTCGAAAGGGTTTCTGCTATTATCCCGAACTAATCGTCTCTCTTTTCTGTGTTAACTCTATGCTCCAGTTTGCCGTTTGAATGGTGTAAGACGCGAAGGGAGGCGAACGTTAACTTGGCTGTTGGCGCACCTTCTCTTTCAGGCTGCAGTCTACATGGCCGGCCTTGTGCTTTCCTCGAGACTTTCTTACACCTAGCTTGCAGCCAGTACCATTGACGTGTTTGTTTCCTAGTTGAACTGTTCATTCATAGGGTGCTTGATGTCGTTAAGTTAGATGTGAATTAAGACTGATTATGAAACTAGACACCTTAAAGTCTCAAGAGAGCTGCGTCGCCAATGTCGCCTTCTTTTCACACGATAGCCAGCTATTTGTGTCCCGTGTTCTTGAGGAAGTTTAGGTTCCTTGACTTTAAATGTTTTTGTCATTTCGGCTTTACACTCGGCCTCCATAATATATATATATATATATATATATATATATATATATCAGGTGGCATATTGTAAGCAGCAAGCGCTTGGTAACCTGAAGCTAACGCGGTCCCAACGCGGGCTGGCTTTTAAGATGAGAATACTGGAGGATAGCCGACCAATCTAAGGGATTCATCTGTGTTCCTTTGAATCCGTCGCACACACACCCACACACGTTTCCATGTTCAGTCATTGTGGCCTTTCAACTGTGCATACAGAGTGGGGCTTACAGGACGGCCTACGTGGTTCCGATATTCACAATGAGCAACACTAGCATGGACGTTTGAAGACACATCGAGACCATACGCAGTACGAGTGGCACTGAGGTCTTACACTAGGTTCACTCAAGTGAACTGTGAAGCCCCGATGACTGAGAGTGCAAAGCATCACCTTTACTTCGTACCGGACGATACGAACGTGTTCCAATGCTTTTGAGCTCCGATTACCATGGGGATGCTGGAGTCTGGTTAGGCAAATTTCTCAAGCGCATGGTAACCTGCATTCATGCGTCTGGTTTTTGTGGCTGTCTTCAGTCTCGGCCTTGGCAACCGCGGAATGTCAGCACCAATACACTTTACTCATGTAGGCCCGCAATTGTGCATGATACACTACGACCCCAATGGGAGAACGTAAATCCTCATGGACCTTACTAATGCGAACGTGTATGACATCGGTTTGGAGTTAAGAATAACAGCCAAAGTTTTCATGCTACGAGCAGTTGCGCGTTGAATAGTAAGCTTGCAATAAACCCGGGGGATAAAAATGAAGTTGCATTGGGTTGATATACATGAAAAAGTGTACGAGGGGGAATAAGAAAACGAGAAGGCCTGGGGAGTGGCGTCGAAACCCATTTGTGCCATGCTTGATGCAGCAAACTGGGCGCCGTAGATTATCCCCTGCGGCGGCCAGTGCTTTGAGAAATGCTTTGAAGGGAGAGTCCTAGTGTTGTATTGTGTGCGCAAGATTCTCTCGGGTTGCCCGGGCCGAGATAGGAGAAGGATTAAGGCTCTCACCCAAAGGCTGATTCAAAAACCTGACCGCAAAGCAGCGGGATTTTGGCAGTGAGCTACAGAGCGTCCATTTAATGCGGTAAGGAGCCAACCCCACTTCAACTTCCAACCCGGAGTACTAGGCGACTAAGTTTTTATGACCTCTTAATATTGACCCATGTGGTATGAGTGGTTTTGAAGGTGCAAAATGCACCGCCATTATATCAATAGATTGCTGAGCCACACAAGCCACCGCGCCACGTCTCGTTGCGATAGAGTAGGAATATGTGCAGCGGTATCAAACAGTACTGAAGTATCGAAAAATAATATACTTTTTTTCGCACGACGTTTTTTCATCACATGGAGTTAGTTTTTCGAAATCGGTAGTTCACGTGGGTTTATACAACCGGATTGGTACCATTGTTTTGAGTGTTGTAACCCGTCGGCATTCTTCATCTTTAGATCCCTGATCTGGGATGGGGGGATACCGAATCACCAGTTGGTAGACAGGGTGTCAGTATGATTCACCATTATCATTATACACATTAGCTGCAGGTGGAAAACACCTCAGCTATTGTGCCGCAATACAAAAAACAAGAAAAGGAAAATAAAGTGTGGCACGCCGGCTGTGTCCTCAGTAACGGATGGACATCGTTCCGGAACGCTAACAGCTGGCTATCGTGCCATAAAGAGAATCATATTGTGCTTAACGAATGAGATCGTGATTGGAGAGGGATGCTAAGCAGGAGATGGATGGACAAAGGAACTCACAACACAAACGCCATCGGGGCTGGCTCCAAGCCATATCAGCAAGTGTGTCCAACCAAACGTGTTCACCGTCCTTAGGACCCCAGCCAGGCAGTCGGGATGCACCAACCGACGCCAACTTCGAAGTGAGGGTTTTCATCTCTGTCGACCAATTCATCGCTTGGCCTCCCTTCCTCCTCTTCCAACCGCATCCACAACGCGCAAACAATGCACGTCGTGGGAGTCGGTGTGCTGGCATGCGCAACACGTGGCCCAACCATCGGAGCCTGGTGCGCGATATAATGGTGCTGAGCGGTCCACTCTCTCTTCCTGCATCAAATACGTGACGCCGAACACGCTCATTGTTCACGCGGTGCTCCCACCTGACATGAGCTAAGTTGCGAAGGCATCATCATCATCATACACGTTAGCTACAGGTGGGAAATATCTCAGCTGCTGTGCCGCAATATACCTCAGCTACTGTGCCGCTGCGAAGGCAGTGATGATCGAATATCACGAGCCTCTTTATGTCTGTCGATCTGATGGGCCCGGTTTCGCAACCAAATAGGAGAGTTGAACGGACGGCTGCCTTATAAACTCTGCCCTTCAGGACGAGAGTAATGTCGCGTTTGCGCCACAGGTGGCGGAGATTGGTAAAAGCACCTCGAGTTTTTGCTATACGGTTCGTAACCTCATCTTCAATCCCACGGGTGCTAATATAGCTGCCCTGGTACTTGAATTCCTGAACGACTTCTAGCAGATCACCGCCAAGCGTTAGCGCAAGGTTGGGTCCCAGCCAATCTTGGAGAAGTACTTTGCATTTCGATGGAGCAAAGCATAGCCTAAAACGATTGCCATGCAGTGCTAATCGGTCCAGTGCTGCTTGGCATGTTTGGGAGTTGTCACAGATTAGGGCAATATCCTCCGCTCCATACCTTCTAGGTCGTGTCCAGCGAACGCTGTTTCCATGACTTCATCAATAGCGAATTTAAACAGGGTGTCAGCGATTTGATGCTTCTTCACCTGGTAGCCGATTGGCCCCCACGCGGCTTCTTCCTATACTACCCTGTATGCTCAAATAGGGCACGGCCTGGCAATCGCTCGCCAGGCATGCGCAGGACGTAGCCCAGCCTTCTCAACCGACGAAATATAACACTCATAGATCGGGAGATCCGCCTTATCTAATACGGGATGTCTGCTGTCATCCTTGCGCACCCGGTATCACCACCATACACGAGCAACCCTCCGCAGACGACCGTTTCCGAAGGCCGAAAACTGCGCATGTGATCCACCGGATTGGCCACGATTCGCATTCATACAAAAGTATCCCGCGAACACAGGCATTGTTAACCTGCCTCTCAGCAAAAGCGTGATGTGACGACACCACAAGTGTCTCAAATAGTCAAGGGTCGAGCGGCCTTTAGCGACTCGAAGAGACTCTTCCTCTTCAATTGTTCCTTCGGTAGTGTGATATTGCTCCCAAAGCACCCACAAATATCCACCTCCTCAAGCCGAGTATTTTCTATGGCGAGCTGAGAGAGAGCATTCTGCTAATCCTGTGCCAACACTTTGCACTTTCAAGGGATAAAGCACATACCATACTCGGATGCTTCAAACACTAGTCGGTTAAGAATCAATTGTATACCATGGAAGTCGTCACCCAGCAAGGCGATATCATCAGCGTAATCTAAGTTGGTTTCACGATTATCTGGCCAGTTGCCGAAAGGATTGCACGCCTGGCTTGCAATGCTTAGGTCACTGGTTCGAATCCGCTTGGGGGCGGGCGTCCACGCGGTATCCTCAGCCCACGCGCGACGCGTGGTGGTCCTGTAGCAGAGAAGCGTCGGTACATTGTGCGGGCTCACTGCTGACGACTGACTGACTGGAAGGGGCACAGTTCCAGCATTCTGAAAGCCTTCAAGCTCCCAACAAGACATCTTCGATAAATAAATAAACTTGGGTATATTTCCCGATTGGCGGTTGAAAAGAAATTGTGACACAGGTCATCATTGTCGCACCCCACTGGAAAGAGGGTGGATCGCAGAAAGTTTGCCGTACGATCTTACTCCGCCTAAAGCATAGACGTATAGCGCCCAAAGAATAGCGACGTAGTTTTTCGGGACTCGGTTCTTTGGTAGACAATTCCATAAAGCAGGTCTGTCGGTCGGTCGGTCTACCAAGTCGAACGCCTCCTGAATGTCCAGGAAGACGACGTGACGATGTTCGAGAAGCTGGCGAATCTGAATATTTGATCTGCACAACCTCGGCCGGGACGGAAACCAGTCTGCTCCTCATGATAACGCGTCTCGCGACTTGGCGACAGCTTGCGTAACATGCTTCGCACAAGCATTTTGGAGGCAACTGCTACCAGACTGATTCCTCTGTGATTAACACATGAAGTCTGGGAGCCTTTCCTAAACACTAGGACAGCAACTAACTCTCCTTATGAAGAGGGGATTCTTTCTTTCACGATCATCTGAGATAATGATGTTAGCTCAGTGATAATATCCGTACCGCCATATTTGAGCAGTTCTGGAGGAAGTTCGTCTGAACCAGCAGCTTTAAACCACTTGAAGTGTCCAAGCACAAGGTGAACCTCGGCTTCTGTGGGTGGTTCGAGTGACACGACGGGGCGACCTGAATGCGAAGGTAGACGGCGGGGAAGTACTGAACTAAGGTTGGAAATGCTCTACCCATCTGTCCATACGCTTTGCAATTTGATGATTTGTGACCTATCCGCCTCACAGCTAATCTTGCTGACACCAGACCTTCGGTGACCAGTGGTCCGAACAAGCTGAAACAACCTCCGAATTATTTCCAGAGAGGGCAGCGGTTTCTATCTCTAAGGCGCGTTGAGACCACCAAGCTTCACGATCACCGCGATGGCTTCGTTTGACTTGAAGGCTGATACCGCGGTGAAGTTCATTCTGATCAGTTATAGGGGAGAGCTCGGAGCAGTGGAACGTGTCAGGGAGCGCACGAAGACCCAACTATTTGAGGGGCGGTGAGTGAATCCACAGACTGCTGGGCCCGAGATAGCATCGTACTCTGCAAGACGTTCCACCGCTTGAGTCACGCACAAACTTGCTTCTTTCCGCTTCCCAGGACTGTATTTCATCCACGGAATGACATTTTATCTCGCGTCGCTTGTGACAGCCGTCTTGTCAACTGCGGTATTTTGTCTATCGTTTCATTGATCTGGTGTGATTTGTGAATCCATCCATGACGGATGCACTTTTGCACACTTCGGAGATCAGCATTGTTTAACCATCGATTTGGGTTCCGCCGACACGTCACGACTTGGGTACTGCTGCTTAAACATGTCGACATCTGATTGCTTTGATTCCTGTTTTGTCGCACGATAGAAACATCGCAGTTCACGCAATTATTCGCGCATAGCTCGCGCACAACGTGTGTTCTTGAAATGACAACTGTCAGCACCGTATAGTCCACATTTTGAACTGCAATAGTTTAGCTCAGTCTGTATGCCGGTCGTTTTTCGCGGAAAGCTCCGCTTTTGCACTTTCATGTCGAGGTTAGTGGATGAAACGTGTTTCGTTTCTTTGTACATGGAAAACTTAAAAGTCAGAACTGTTCCATGCGATATCATTTTGTTGCTTGTATTATTGTTCATTTGGCACTTAATTAATTGATTGCCTCTCTTTTCTTTCTACCTTCCTCTTCGCCACCACACGGTGACCGGACAGGGTCTTGTTGCATTGAAACAGTCTGGTCATTTCTCCGCTATATCTTGTGCCTTCCGTCCCGTTACCGGTTTAAACAAGATTCTCTTCAGAGAAAATCCCAACTAACCTCGATTTACGAATTCGAAGAAGCGTCCCACGATGACTCTTGTGTCGAATTCTGGAACGCCTTTACTGTCAGTCTGAAGCAACTAGTTTCCACCGGATTATGGAGAAATCCGGATTTCCTAGCCTACATTATTGCAAATTCATTGACTGGTCTGGGTGTGGTGATTCCGTGGACATTTATTTACGATCATTGTCTGATTTCGTTGAGCCGAGACGGGGAGTTGGACCATTTGAATGCCAGCCACGTTTCTTGGCTACCAGCTCTTATTGGACTAGGATCGCTTTCCGGTAAGCATTTGTTTCCCATGGCTTTCCTGTTTGTTTCCGATGTACTTTTGCCTTCGGCACTGCATGCTTATCATGTATATGCTTGTTTCACAATTACCTACCTCCTCAAATGCTTAATATAGCCTATCAACTTACAGACGTCCTTTGGTGCCTTATCCAAGTCAGCAGTGGACCTTTGTATCCCAACTAGTGACTTGATAAACTGCGCCATCTTTGTTCCACTTACTCTCTTCACTACCTCGGAGAATGAAGGGGAACCGGTTTTAATCCCTGGAAGTGTTTATTGTTGTTTGGGTTGTTGTGAAGCCTAAAAAGAATCTGAGAAATTTTCGGACCTGAGTAGTAGACTAACTTACGGCTCATCCAAGTCCCCATGCTAAGTTTATGGGTAGTTTTGGTTTTCTGTGCCAGTTTTTCGGCTTCTGCATTTGCATCCACTTCAAGTGTTTAACCGAAGGTTTCGATTGATTTATGAGACATTTAAAAGATGCGAACTGGTCGCTGAGGCTCATGTTCTTTTAGTCGGTCCAGCGCTTTAACATATTCTGGTCTCAATATTTCATTGTAGTAATTCGGAAACCTCCGATCAAACGGGAATACTTAGGATAAATTGAATACCTTGTATCCGTTCGGGTGAAAAGATTGCCAAACCTTCCAAGACCGCAGGTCCAAATGCGTCCCCACAGTCCTCTGCTAAGCTCCACATGTTTCCCACCGTCTTGTGTGTCTGGTTGCTGAATGCACCAGACTTATCTTGGATGCTGTTTTCTCTTTGACGTTGTGTTCGACGGGTGATCGATTTGTCGATGACATTGCTATAATCTGGTGGGGCTCACAACCGTTCCAAGCAGTAGGGGACAAATTAATACCACTAATGCCCGTACTGTGCATTGGTGGTTTCGAAAAATGTCGAACAGTTTACGAGAGGCTTAAAAAATAGAGCGTTGTGAAGGGCTATCGGAAGCTAGCGATGATCAATTAAAGGCTTTAGTTGAAGCTGATCAGCGTAAAACTGTTTGCAATCTTTCGTCTGACTAAACAGTGTCCTTAATGACACTTTTCAGTCTTTGACTGGAGATTAGAATGTCAAAAGGTATGGTAAGCGAGCACTGCAGGAATTGATTGAAAAGCAAAGAAATCCTCGTTTTGTAGTGTTGTATTCCCTTCTGCGCACTCGAAACGGTTCGTTTCTCTACCGGATTGTGATGTGTGATCAGAAGTGGATACTTTACGACAATCGATGGTAGACCGCTCTATGCTTGGACCAAAATCAAACTCTACAGCACTTCCCAAGGCCGAAGTTGCACCCGAAAAGATTGTGGTAACTGGTTGTTGATCTGTAGTTCGTCAGAAATATCACACCTTTCCTAATCTAGGCGAAACCATTACAGTGGAGAAGTATTGTCATCGAATTGCCGAAATGCATCTGATATGTCTACGCATGTGTCCGCCACTGGTCAGCAGAAGGCGACCAATTTTCCTCTACGATAACACTCGGCTGCATCTCGCGCATACAACCCTTGGGAAGCTGCACGAAATGGGCTACGAAAATTCGCTTCATCCACCATTGTTCCTTGACTTATCGCTTACGGATACCACTTTTTCAAACATCTGGATAATTTTCTTCGCAAGAAATGTTTTAAAAGCCAAGAAGATGTTGAAACCGCACTGGATACGAGTTCATCGTCACAAAAACTCCGAAATTGTAGTCCTCACATGGGATAAATCCACTTGTTACCCGTCGGTAAAAGTGTGTCAATTCAACTGGCTTTTACTTCGATTAAAAATGTTACGTTTGAGCCAAGATTTTTAGACTAAAAACTTCACTAACTTTTTAACAACCTAATCCTAGCGTTTATGGAAGGCTAGCTCTTGTCGTTACTTTGGAGATCAATGGGCACGCAAAGCAAGCTTCCTCTTAAATGTGAGCGTTTTAAATTCGACACACAACAATGGTTCTGTTGCCGAGTGCCATTCATACGGCACTCCCAGCAGATACAGGAACTCCTTAGTATAAGCGATCAAGGTAAACCAGCCAGTTCGTTTCCATTGTGCCATAACCATGTCTCTGGTCCGAACAATAATGTCAGATTTACTCTTTTTTATGCGATTCCTGCTGAAACTGTCACCTTATCTGCAAGCCTCCAATCGAAGCCATGAAGACGCCACTGCCCTCAACGCAAAGCATTTTGGAGTAGCCGCTACAAGTAGGATCTACAATTAGTCCGAAATGTACGCACCTTTGTAGGTCAATCCACAAATGTTCAATTGCTGGAGAATTTACATGGGCTACT